GGTAATTAGGCAAGTTATTGTTCTGTAAACAATCTGAAAAATATTGTTTAAGTGGGCGAATAATTTTGACCTTAATGTTTAAAAAAATAAAAACTGATTTTATTCTAGCTGAAATAAAACAAATAAATAAACTAATACATTGTTTGCAATAATTTATGAACAAATCTGTGCTGTTGTTTGTGTTGTAATCAAAGAGGGCATTTCGCAGAACCAGGAAATGCTTTGGGTTAACTAGAAAACATGTTTTTGAAAATGTTTGCAAGGTCAGCTGTCTTTGAGATGCATGTCAGATATTCGTCAAAGAAAAAAAACAACATTTATACACTTCTTTTAAGATGTTTTTTTCTGTTTCTGAATTTCTGTTCATCTTAAAAGAGATATAAGTTTAATATAACTTCACTTTAAACATGAATTGCACATTGTTACTTTGACCCCATCAGGAACGAAAGTAACACAGGAGTGGGTCAAAAGTAACAACACTATTTACTATATTTATTGGCTTACTTTTTGCATTTAAAAACTGAAATTTGGACCCAACCTGCAGTCACGTGATATCTGGCAGCTCCAAGGGTTGCATGCCATATTTGCTGTTACAGCCTGGAAAACAAATGTTTTCAGGCCTTCGAGAAAATTGCTTTGTAATTTTCGTCCAATGTTACTTTCATCCCGCTCTCCCCTGACATCCTTTGGAGGAAATAAAAAACAAGTACTATTAAAGTAAATAGTTACAGGTTTTAAGCTTTATGCATAATCTTATTTTCTATTCAATAGAACAAATTATCTCAAATATGTCTAGAACAAGCGGAGGATGAGTAAATAAAGACAGAATTTTCATCTCTTTAAAAACAGCATGAGATGTGACACTAGGGCTGTGCAATTAATCGAATCGCAATCGCAATTTGAAACGATGTGATTAGCTAATCGCAAGAGGCTTCGATATGAATTTTGTATTTACTTTTCCGCTGCCCAGAGCAAATACGTTCATGGTGTCTGTGTATGACAGTCTTACTAGCCAATTAAGTGTGTGCAGTTTATTTATTTATTTATTTAAATGCTACTCATTGGATGTAACGTCATTCAATGCGACTATAGTCATGACTTTATGGAGTGCTTATGACCTACTAACTATTCTTTGCTTTAAGAACATGTAGAACATGTAACAAATTTATGCAGAGTTTAGATTACATGATTTTAGCCCTGATTTTGAATCGCCGACAGGTTTTAAGAAATTACCGACAATTGCCTGAAATCACAGAAAAATTGGTGCTCGTTCACGCAATTAACAATCACACAGTAAGAACTATTTAGGATGCAATATGATAGAATTCCAGATGAGTCGCCGATGGCAGTGAGATATTTGGCATGCTAAATATCTGGAGCTGTTGGCGATTCAAACCATGCCTTGTGAAAAGTTTTTTTATTGAAAATAACATCCACGATCAAGTCTCAAGTCTCTAAAGCTAAAGCCTTCTTTTTCCATTATGTAATTAATAACGAAAGCTATATTACGTGACCTCATGTTGTTTCCATGTCATTTCTCGCGTTTGTTTGGTTGTGTGTCGTAGTTTGGACAAAGTTGTCAGTTATTCTTCCTGTTTTTAAAATCATGCAGTTTGAAGTCAAGCATCCATTTTTATTTGCGCTTACAGTTTGCTCTACAGAAAAATTTGTGTTTCATTTCTGAGTATTTAAAAACAAATTTGAATAAGTGTTTAAGTAAATTAAAATCTTTTCAATTCCTTTTTTGAACTAACACTCGCTGCATTTTAGCAATAAGAAGCTACGAAACAGATTACTGAGCTGAAGCTTGACTACAAAATTAAATCACAAATAAAATCGAAATCGCAATATCTCTCAAATAATAATTTGAATCGATTAGTATATTTTCTCCAAATCGCACAGCCCTATGTGACGCAGTGTTCAAAGAAACACCCTTTACAACATGGTTTTACAATGAAAATGATCTTACAGATGTGTATATTTATAATATATGTAAAATAAATAATAGATATAATAATTATTTATGCAAAAACCACTGTTGTCATTTAATAACTAACCTTTTATCATGAATCCTTTCCAATTTCTTTGTAAGCAAACATTGCCAGGTGAATAAACATTCACACACACACACGCACACACACACACACACACACACACACACACACACACACACACACACACACACACACACACACACACACACACACACACACACACACACACACACACACACACACACACCAAACTGCTAGCAGCAGACATAAGCCATGCATTGTTTGAATATATTATTGGAGTTTCTAGTAACCTGACCTGTTTTTTTGTTCACCTCATTTGCACATGGTTGTTTCTTGTTCAAAATGTAAATTTAAAATTTCAACAAAATGTTTGCATGCAGCAAAAACAGACCTAAGTTTAACTCATAATCCACATTAAAGTCATTTTGATAATAAAACATACTTGACCATGTTTAAAACTGAAACCAATTAGTGCCCTCAGGATAAACCACTCCTTTTAGTGGAAAAACAGGTTGTTGGACAGTCATGCTTTTTTATTATAACAAAGTGTGGTAACTGTCAGCTTTGGAATGTTGCTTAACCTGGCAACTTAAAACTCCTAGTTATTTGTTGCTGAATTATTTTCTTGAACTTATTTGAATGTGTTTGGACAGCTGTA